CCCCCCCCAAAACCTAAATTTTATTGCAGATTCGGGGTCCTCTCGCCAAGCGCAGAACGACCCCGCTTTCAAAAAAAAAAATAAAAAAAATTCTGGGCGTTTTTTTGGCTCGCCCGGTTTACCCGGGCGCCCCTCCCGGGCCTAGCCCGGCCGGGCACGCCCGGCCGGGCGGCGTCCTCACACAGAAAAAAACCCTTTATTTGCGGTCTATGTCTTAGTCGTTGTCTGTTGTTTTCTTGGCCAGATTGTTCAGCAGCAGCAGCAGCAGCAGTGGAGGAGGAGGATGAGGAGGAGGAAGAGGGGGGTAAGGATTACAGTGGAGTGCCAGAGGAGGATGATGATGATGATGAGGAGGGCCACAGAAAACGGGCACATCTAGCGTTGGGCAGGAGGAAGTGATTATTAGCCTTTGTAGCAGTTTGGACATCGACGGTGGCTCAACCTCCAGTAATTTAATCTTCATTGGTGTAATCATGATGGACTGTGCTCGGCGGCAAGATGCTGAGCCGGACCTGACGTGTCACGAGACTGATGCATGGGACAGCTCAGTAGTCCAAGACTTTGATATCCATCCCATCGAGCCATGGCTACTTTTTAATCACGCGAGAGAAAGGCTGGTTGTATGGAATTATGAAGATGGCCGTCAGATTGCCGATAAGGTTTGTCGTGGGCAGTCATTCTTTGCCGTTGCCAGGTTTCTTCCAGATAAAGGATGGATCGTGGCCGTTGAAATGAGAGGTTGCCTGATCCGGGGCATATTAACGATGTACGAGATGATAAGGCTAGCGGAACCGAACACGAGGCCTAATAATCCTAATAACGTCTCTTCGTCAGATTCCGATAAGATGAGGGAAATTTATAAAGTCCAAGAAATTGAAGTTGGATATCAACTGGTTCGAACCCTAACCGTTCATCCGACGTCAAGATATATCTTGGCCTTGGTTCAAGAGTATGGGCAGTTTGCCCAGCGAGTCTATGGATGGGATGCCGACAAACTAAGGGACAAGTTTGTGCTTGGCGGCGCCGAGGAACCCCCTCCTCCTTCTTCTCCTTCTCCTCCTCCTCCTCTTCATCATCAGCATCAGCAGCAACATGCTCAGCCTAATCTTAGTCATCAGAAAGTTATGGAAAAAGACGATGGTGATCTTATCCGTACGGCTTTTCATCCTGTGGAATCGAATGTGGTCGCGACGGGCGCATTTGGTGGGAACATCAAGGTGTGGAATGTGGAAAAGAGGATGGTGCTGCACGGATTCGATGCATCGATCGGTGGCATCTCTGCCATCCAATTTGCTGGTGAAGGGCAGATTTCCCTTCTGATTGTAGGTCATAAATCTGGTCAGATTCATGTGTGGGATTACAAGAAGAGAGCATGCGTTTCCACTCTCGTTGGGCATGGCAGCCCCGTGATCAACATCACCTCCTTCTCCCAGTTGCCTTGTATATTGAGCCTGTCTAAGAACGGAACACTTAGATTCTGGAATGATTCTAATTATAGCCTAATTATGGCTTATAGGAGTCCATTAGAGGATTTTCAGAAGATTGCCATCTGTCGCGTCTCGGATAAGGTGGTTTTTGGCGGGAAACGCGCGATGCTGGTGGTGGATGGCGGGATACTGAGCAGAGGTGCGCTGCTGGCGGAGGCGGCGGCAGGGAGGAGGGGGAGGCGGAGCGATTCTTCGACTTCTCTCTTCCTCCTCTGTCCCGATCGGGAATTGAAGCAGGTGGTGGAGACGGAGATGGCGACCTTGAGGGAGGAATGGTTGAGGGTCGTTGATGAGTCGACTGCACAGAAGATGCGTCAGCTGGAGGTTGAAGTAATTAATCTGGAGAATGAGGTGTTAGGTCTGATGGCAGAGAAGGAAGGGTGGGAAGAAAGGCTGGAACGATGCAAAGCAGAGCAAGAGAAAAGCGAGAGAAGATTTGCAGACAGGATCAAGTCCCTTGATGAGTATGTGGCCAATCTGATGGCTCATCTGAGCAACACGCAAGCGGAGAGTGACGCTTGGCGGCTGAAGAGTCAGCAATGCAAATCTTATCATAAGAAAAGGGAGCAATTGCATCTAGAAAGAATCAATCAGCTTGAGAGTGAGGTGACAGATCTGAGGGAGCAGATAGAGTTGGCGGAGAAAGAAGATAGGAGGAGGAGATACGGTGGATGGTCGAGATCCATGGATAAACAAGAGCAGAAGGAAGATGGCGATCCAGGTGGCTATGGAGAAGGCAGGGTCCAGCAGAAGCTAGAGACGGAGGTCAGGAATCTGGCTATGGCGATGGAAAAGGAGGTGATGGAAAAGACGATCGAACGGTTGAGATCAGTGAATGCAGAACAGGAAAAGATGATAAAGCAGCTCGAAAGTGCGGTTAGTAATCTGACGGTGGAGAGAGAGGCATTGAAAGAGCGATTAGAGCAAATCAGATCAGTGGAAAACAATGTCGGACAGTCAACATCAGAGCAGGAAGGGCAGGAAATGAGGAGGATAAACCAGCTGAAAACTGAGCTTCGCAATCTGACGGTGGAGAGAGAGGCATTGAGAGCGCGATTGGAGGAGCTCAGATTGGTCGAAGACACAAGCGAACGGTCCAGATCGGAGAAGGAAGAAGAGGAAAAGACTCAAAAGAGGATAAACCAGCTGGAAACTGAGGTCAGCAAGCTGATGGTTGAGATAGAGGCGTTGGAAGCGCGATTGGAGGAGCTCAGATTGCAGGAAGACGAAAACGGACGGTCCAGATCGGACAAAAAGGAAGAACAGGAAAATAGGAGGATAAACCAGCTGGAAACTGAGGTTAGCAATCTGACGGTTGAGAGAGAGGCATTGCAAGAGCGACTAACGGAAATCCGATCAGAACACGACAAACTGGAGAAAATAAGTTGCGCAAAGATCCAACGGCTGGAAATGGAGCTAAGCAACCTAATTGCAGAGAGGGAGGCGGCTCTGAAGAAGGATACACTCACTAACAGACCACAGGACGGAGACGACAGTGAATTAGCAGGCGAATGTGCGTGCGAGAGCGAGGCCAGCGACTGTGACGAAATGACCAGGACTTCATCTGCCAGTGGTCAACTGTCTCCATATCTGAACTATCTCCAGCCAAAAATTCTCCAGCCTGGCAATTGCCAGCTGGACAGTCAGCAGCTGGACAATCGACAGTCTGACAATCCACAGGCGGACGATTGGCATCTGGACAGTCAACAGCCTGGCAATCTGCAGTCTTGCAATCCACAGGCACACAGTCTACAGGCGGACAGTCGACAGGCGGAGAGTCGGCACCCTCACAGTCCACAGGCAGACAGTTGGCAGGCGGACAGTCTGCATGCGCAGAATAGACAGATGGAGAGTCGTCAGGCGGAGAGCTGGCAGCCTGACAATCTCCAGCCTGAGAGTCGACAGGCGGACAGTCAAGTGTCGGACAGTCCACAGTTGGACAGCCAGCAGGCGGAGAGTCGGCAGCCTGACAATCTCCAGCCTCACAGCCGACACGCAGACAGTCAACATGCGGCCAGTCGGCAGCCTGACAATCTCCAGCCTGATGGTCGAAAAGCAGAGAGTCAGTATCCGGACAATCTCCAGCCTGATGATCGACAAGCGGGGAGTTGGCAGCCTGACAATAGACAGCCTGACAGTGGACAGGCGGGCGGTCAACAGGTGGACTGCGGACAGCTGGACGGTCGCCAGCCGGACGTTTATCAGGTGACCCCGTTTCGAGAATTTTCTCTTCAGGAGCTTGAGGATGCGACGAACAATTTCCATGACACCTTCAAACTTGAAGATCGAGAATATGGGTCGTTTTATGAGGGAAAGTTTGTAGTGAAGAAGCTCGTGAAGACGAGCGGCAGCACGGTGAGCTCGTTTGTGAAGCTCAACAAGGACCTGGTGGAAAGACTGTGGTCCCTTCGGCACCCACACTTGCGGGCGCTGCTGGGAGTCTGCTATGAGGGGAACTGCCTCGTGTATGAACATGTGGCGAATGGGAATGTGAGAGAATGGATCTTCGCTGTAAGAGGGGCACAACGCCCGAAGGGGGTACTGACGTGGCCGATAAGGCTGCGCATTATGGCTCAGGTTGCTCAAGCCCTCTGCTTCCTTCACTCCAATCTGTCAGTGAGTGGTGGTCCCATCATCCACTGTGGCATCAGTCCGAACAATATCCTTTTAGACAAGGATTTTGTTGCGAAAATCGGTGAGGTGGATATGGCATTGATTGCACCAGACTTCTGTGAAGAAGAGCAAGCACACGATATCATGCATGTGTCCTTCGGGACCGCTTTTCACTACATAGCCCCCGAACTTGTGCGGACTGGGGCCTTCGATGAGAAGTCGGATGTCTATGCGTTCGGCATCACTCTTCTGGAAATGCTCACTGGGAAGTCCAAGCTCGCTTTGCGAACCATCGATCAAGCAGTCAAAAACGTCGCGAAATTTAAAAATGCCCTCGATCTAAAGGCAGGAGATTGGGATCTGGATCTCGCTTTGGAAGCAGCGAGGCTGGGGCTGCGATGCGCAAGTCTCGACACCGCTGATCGCCCCAGCCTGATGAATGGTGAAGGTGCCATTCTACCTGCTCTGCAAAACATTGCTCGTAAAGCGGAACTCACTGTCTCGCCGGGGAATCCACGTGTCCTGGGACACAGCGCATAAGACTGAGCTGAGGTGAGGCCTCTTCAACTGGACTTTCTCACTCAACTTCTTCAGTAGACCCCTGTTCTATCGCTGTAGTCTGCTCGCTCTGGCCAGACCTTTCTCTCAGGCATAATTTAATTGATTTCCAAAGGGTACGAAGTCGGTAGATGTCGAAGCAGCCAACGACTGGTAGTTAGTCTCACCCAACCGCCGACGGATTCGTACTGCTCAAGTATGTGATGTGCTCTTTCGAGTCCATCGATTTAGGCTCCTTCCCGTCTGCTGACTGTGTACACAACCAGACCAGCGCTGTGCTGCGCGCCTATTGCTAGGCTGCTGCTGTAGCCTCCAGTACACGCCCCCAGCCTTGCTGAAAAAGAAACTCGTAGCCTACGGAAATTTCGGAGGCTCGGCCTATCGGACCACGATGGCTGGCGGAGCCAGCGGAAAAAGAAAAAAAGTGCGCCGCTGGCAGTCCGGAAAAGTTTGGCGCGCAGTAATGGGCCTGCAGGCCTGGGTGTACTGGTGGTTTAAAGCTGCGGATCCAGAGAGTAATAGTCAAAAGCTGCCGTCAATTATACCCTTTCTGTCTATTTATATGTCTCTCTGTATCTGTTTCTGTCTGTCTTTCTGTCTCTCTGTCTGTCTGTTTGGCTGTCTGTCGATCTGTCTGGCTGTCGGTCGGTCTGTCTGTTCGTCTGTTGCTCTCTGGCTGGCGTCCATGCATCTCTCTGTTTGTCTGTCTGTCCGTCTCTCTGTCTATGTGTCTCTTGGCCCATCTGTCTGTTTGTCTATCTTCCTGCCTGCCTGCCTAGCTGTATGCCTGTCTGTTTGTCTGTACGCATTCTGTCTCCCTCTCTCTGTGCCGGTCTGTCTCTACATGTTTCTCTCTCCGGATAGCACGATAAGTTCCCTGTTCTCTCTTTGAGCATCCAGAGTGATTTTCAGATGGAGCTTAATGCATGTTCTGTCTCTAGGAGGCAAGGAAGGGGGAAAAAAAAAACAAAACAAAAAAAAAACATGTTCTGTCTCTAGGTGTCTTCACACCAAATACAATGCCTGGTCATTATAGCTGTGTTTGGGCCAACTCTCAGTCAAGGTGTGGCGATAATAACCGGGCGTTCTACTCGGTACTAGGTGCCTGTCTTCTTAGCATTTGCGTATGCTTCGCTTCTCTGTGCCAGTGTTGGATGCACTGTTTACCAGTTCCTCCGAAGGTGGTGGTCCCCACGGAGACACGCTTTGGAGGATTAGTTTGTGTTAATCAGCTTTGAATCTCTATAGCTTGCCAATCCTGCTATAATCTGCTCTTTCCAATAGTACATGGCATGCTCCGTCTCTCTACAGGGCCTTCCTACCTGATAATGTTTGTCTCCGTGGGGACCACCACCACTCCAACCAGGATTTTGAGTCAACTTAGCATTGTACTATAATCACCCAGTTTTTGAGTCCCGGTGGGGACCACCACCAGCACTCCAACCAGGATATAGTGCATATCATGTTCATGCACTCATTCCACTTCAATTAATATATTTCTTGCCTTGTACTGAGCTGGCAATAATCCAGCGAAACCGTCTGCGCGCCCCTCCCGCCCGCCTCCTCACTTCCTCCGTCCCTTTTTCGGTCCTGCTCCCCGTTTCCATCTCTGCTTCACCAGCTGAGGTTGTTCTCTGTGATAAGCTGCTGAAGTGGGGGCTGACAAAATAATTTGTCACAGCCTGAAATGGGGGCTGACAGATTATTTTGTCAGCCCCCATTTCAGGCTCCGTTTCATCCTGAAATGGGGCCTCAAGGAACAGAAATGATTTTGTCAGCCCCCCATTTCTTCTCCTTCTTTCCCTTTTTGCTTACTGTTTGTTCACCGTCCCCTTCTTCTTCATCAATATGTCTGTCTGTGTGTATGTATGCCTTCATGTCTGCATGTCTGTATGTTTGTCTGTACGTAGATGAGAAGATATGTACATATGTATGTATTTATGTGTATGTATGTATGTATGCATGTATGTCTACATGCATCATTGTATGTACGTATGTATGCATGTACGCGTATGTTGTGTATGTACATATCTGGTATGTATAAAATAGTTAAAAATACTATATATTTTTAGTGGCGTGTCTGGAGTTTATTTTCTGGCTGTGATCGACCTTTCTTTGTTTTGTCGGTGTTTTGATGGCTTGTGATTGGGGTGTGAACCGACAGTGTGTAGAGTTTTCCATCTGGTGTGGGTGAGTCATAGTCTTCTTTGATTTTCGTGACAGGTACCTTGCCGGGCAGTGGTTGGTGGTCCCCACCTCCTCAGAGAGGCATCAGTTCTCGGGCAGTCGTTGATGCTTAACCACAACGGTTACCGGGGTTAATGTGGATTATTACCACTTACAGTGTAATCAGTTACTAGGGCAGCCGTTGATGATGCTTAACCACAACGGTTACCGGGGTAAGGTGGATTATTACCACAGTGACTTACAGTGTAATCAGTTACTAGGGCAGTCGTTGATGCTTAACCACAATGGTAATCAGTTACTAGGGCAGTCGTTGATGATGCTTAACCACAACGGTTACCGGGGCTAAGGTGGATTATGATGCTTAAACACAACGGTTACCGGGGTTAAGGTGGATTATTACCACAGTAACTTACAGTGTAATCAGTTACCAGGGCAGTCGTTGATTAACCACAACGGTTACCGGGGTTAAGGTGGGGGTTAGGGTGGATTATTACCACAGTGACTTACAGTGTAATCAGTCGTTGATGCTTAACCACAACGGTTACCGGGGTTAAGGTGGATTATTACCACAGTGACTTACAGTGTAATCAGTTGCTAGGGCAGTCATTTATGCTTAACCACATTGTGAACGGTTACCTCCTCACTTACAGTGTAATCAGTTACGAGGGGATTCTGCAGACTGTTTTTGAGGGTTCAGCTGCCTCCTGATTGATGAGGAAGTCGGTGAAGCTCCGACGAAACAGTTTGTCACAGCCCCTCGTATGTTGTCCTCGTCTCCCTCCCTCTCTGCCTACGGTTTACGGGGCAGTTCTGTTTGATGATATATATGTAAATCTTATATACATATATATAATATATATACATTAGTTTGGCTGTGTATTAATTTCGTCGCTCAAAATTGAATGTCGATGGCATGGAACCAAACGATACATCGTCATTCATTGAAATGACATCGAAGTGGAGTTCGTAGCGGAGTTCAGTGGCTATCATAGTGGAGTAACTGTAACTGTGTTGCGTTCAGCCGTCAAAGGGAAGTGACGGCTTTAGCAATTATTACTATAGGATAAAAAGTTAGAAGCGATTACAGCCTGTCGTTCGGGACATCCGTTAAAATTGGAACGATACAGAGAAAGAGAAGATTAGCATGGCCCCTGCGCTTTCAAGGATGACACGCATAAATCGAGAAATGGTCCAAATTTTTTATAAAAAAAAAAAAGAAGAAGCGATTACAGCCTTGCGTGTCTCAGAGACTCGGGCAGTCGAAGGGACATCGTTAGCTACGACAGAAAGTTACGAGTGATTTTGACAAATCTTGCGTCTCTCAGAGACGTCTTTCCGTCCTCTATGTTACGTCGTCGATATCGTGCGACTGTGGAAACTGCTCGCTTTCGGCTCTTCACTTTCGTTCGAGCGGCTATTGGCGATTGGCTGTGGGCGACGACCTCCCCTCTGCTTGTGCTTGGATCACTGTACCGGACTTCATGCACTGCCTCTGCGATCTTTGGGATATTTTTCTTCAGGCTGTCCCGGGCCCAGGTTCATCAACAATCTTGAGACTTCCTAAGTTCTCGGCTCTCCATTCGCCTGCAGCTATTTACTTTCGGCTATTCTATCAGCTCACTTTGTTGTTCTTTGGAGTAATGCCTATAATTCACGCCTGCAAGCCTGCAAGCCTGCAAGCCTGCAAGCCGGCATGGGGGATGATCTTCTTTTCAGACCAGATCCTGTCACCAAAGCGGCATCCTATCTGGTCTGCTGGCTGTCGGTGACTGTGTGACAGTGACTGTGCCCGAATTGCCTTTGTGACATCGACTGTGTATAGTTGATTGTGTGACATTAGTGCTTGTGTGACACTGGTCGTGCTGGGTTTGAGTGGGAGGATGTATTGAAGAGGAGGGTGGATACATTGACAATTTGGAGAGGTCGGCGATAGCGGTCCACCTTTTTTTTTATGTTTTTTTTTTTTTCCCGAACTTTTTGAACCGCCACTACTGCTGAGGCTGACTCGCCGCTGCTGGATTCCGAAGTGGGAATGTCATTTATTACCACGTTTTTCGGCGCCCGGGACACCGTTAGGCCGCCGTCGATAAATTTCATCCGATTCGGCGGCCTTTGTTGCATTACCGTCCTCCGACGAAACTCACGGGGCCTGCTGCCAAGGCCGAAGCATGGCAAAGGTAATCATGGTTCGTTGAGAGCCTCAGGGCGACAACCTTGAGATAGTGTCGTCTTTGAACGACTACCGGCCCTGAGCGCTGGGCCAGCTCGTGGCAAAGGTAATCATGGTTTTTTGAGCTGTAGTAGTACTCGAAAAACACACAGTTGAGGTAATTTAAGAGCAACTACTCATCGGCTTCCATGCGGATTTGATCTTTTAGGTGTGGTGTGTTTTTTCGAGTACAGCTCGTGGGGGTACCAACTGACAGCTAAGGCGCTGGGCCAGCCTGTTTACGCTGTGTGTGTGTGTGTGTGTGTGTGTGTGTGTGTGTGTGTGTGTGTGTGTGTGACGTGCGTGTCTGTGTGTGTCTCTGTCTGTCTGTGCGATATGGTCTGTGTGTTCATACGTGTGTGTTGTCAAGAAATCTCTCTCTCTCTCTCTCTCTCTCTCTCTCTCTCTCTCTCTCTCTCTCTCTCTCTCTCTCTCTCTCTCTCT